ACCACACCTTTACTTTTACACTGTGTTATGTCACATGTTGATTAGCATGAGGACTTTCTTCACCCCATAGTTGTGTATTTTTGCATATTGACATAATTACTAAGATACAACGATGCCTCATCAAGTATGAATGATAGCTGTAATTCCAGAACCTCATAATGCACATTTTGCGGCACCCAGTCACAAAAATGAATTCTTGCTGCATAATCCAGTTGTTTGAGACCCTGCTCAGTGTATATTTTGTCCAGGGATATTTAGCATTTTGTCTGTGTGAATATAGATCCCACTGAAACCCCACTTTCCAATGAATTGTGAAGGCTGATCACTAACTATATGTGAATGTCTGGAACGTTCTCTTCAGTTATCACATTCTTTTTGGATTGTCTCCATCCATCACAGACTGAACCCTTTAACCTTTTAACAAGTTTTGATATACATGACTTCATGGGACTTGTACTTCTGGGTATTTACAAACGGACTTGCAAGTGTGCTTTCTCCTAGTTTTCTTTCTTATTAAGGATTTTACTATGGGAATTTGCTGTAGATTTGTGTAGCACATTGCAAAAGTGACTAGATCAGACCTTGAGCTGAAAGAATCAAAGCAAGCGGAACCTTAACACACTACAATACCTATTACCCTTAAGTTCGTTCATTGTGCAAGTGACTCACTGCCAGATCACAAAGTTACACAGTGATCACACATACACAGTGTGTCCAGGATCCGTTAGGACTCTCTCTCTCTCTCTTTTTTTTGTGGGGGGGCTGCAATGCCATCTGTTGGCGAGTTGTGGCATTAAGATTCTTGAAGTTTCAGCTGTGGCTGTCTGTAATTTCAAAGCACAAGCATCGCTGCATCGTGTGTTCTGACCTTGAATGTAACAGTACTGTTCTGACGCTCATCGGAAAATGGCGGTTGAACAGAGAGCCAACATCAAATTTTGTTTGAAGTTAGGCTAGACAGCTGGAGAAGTGTACTAAATGATGAAAAGTGTGTATGGTAGTGATTTTTTCAGTCGCTCGTACATTTTTCGGTGGTGTGCTATATTTCATGATGGCAGGGAGGACATTGAAGACGTGTCACATGCATCAAAGCCTAGAACAAGTCGCACTGAAGAAAATATGAAAAAAGTGACCAAAATCCTTGCATCAGACAGATGTGTTTCTGCAAAACTCATCGAGGAGCTTTTGGGAATACCAAAAAGTACTGTGCATCAAATTTTGACCGAGGATTTGGGCAATCGGAAGGTCTGTGCATGGTTTGTATCACACGCACTGTCAGGTGATGAAAAACATGCCAGAGTGGAAGGAACACTGCAAAGACATGTTACGGTTGGCCCAAAGGGATAGAAAATTTACAAAATCAGTTGTTACTGGTGTCGAGACATGGTGTTTTCAATATGAGCCTCTCACAAAGCGGCAGAGTGCAGAATGGTTGAGCCCAAAGAAGCCGAAACCAAAGAAGGTGTGCATGCATAAGAGTCGAGTAAAGACACTGCTAACCATTTTCTTCTTTTCCAAAGGAATCATTCACAAAGAATTTCTGCCAGAAGGTCAAACAGTGAATAGTGATAGTCAATATCTTTGGAACAAAATGACATGTAGTTACAATTCTTGCACAGAGAGAGTCATTGTATGTGTTCAAAGTGACCACCATCAGCGGCTAAACAGCGTCGATACTGCTGAGCGAACTACGGCTGTCAGTGTGTCTGGTATGATGGCTGCACGTGACGTTTCGATGGTTTCTCGTAGCGCATTCAGTGTAGCTGGCTTTTGTCGATAAACTTCATCCTTCAAGGTTCCTCATAGGTAGAAGACAAGAGTTGTTAGGTCTGGAGACTGTGGTGGGTACTCAGTGGCACCTCTTCGACCTATCTATCGTCCAGGAAGAGTGTCATCCAAGTACGCCCTGACATCTGGATGGTAGTGAGGTAGAGCACCATCTTGCTGTAGGTAACATCTCTCATCTCCAAACAGCTCTCGAATGGCAGGGAAAATCGATGTCTGAAGCATATCGAGATACACCTGACCAGTTACAGTACCTTCAAAGAAGAAAGGACCAATCAAACTGCGCAATGACAGACCACAACGTGCGGTACGACACTCACGTGACTCATGTAACCTTCAGCATCTGTTGAGAAAACATTACACTACACTATCGCCCAAGAATTGTAATTACATGTCATTTTGTTCCAAAGACATTGACTATCAAAGAGTGAGTACATTTTTTTTTTGTCCCCTTGTATAAAGGAATTATGTCAACTGTCAACACAACAAATATGCTCAGTTTTAATATTCGATCTTTATTTTATTTATCTGGAACACACAACAGGATGCAACCAATGAAGGTAATTCTAAACTAGTGATGTGCTTTTGTGATGAATCGCTGGGTTCCATAACATGGAGTTTCTTGGCCAGTGAAAGGTCTCTGTTGATTTATACATGAACTGCAAAAACAAATGGGTTGCACGCAGTAGTGTAATTGGTTGAGGCACTATGCTACCAGCCGGAAGGTCGCAGGTTCAGGTCCCAATGTGGTGGATTTTTTCAATTTACCTAATTGTTACAGCCGCACTATGGTCCTGGGGTCGACTCAGCCTCTAACAGAAATGAGTACTAGGAATCTTCTTGGTGGGTAAAGGGCAGTTGGTATGTAAGGCTGACAACCTTACTGCCACCTGTGAGCCAATTGTCTAGATCAAGGGTCTCCAAACTACGGCCCGCGATGTGATTTTATCCATCCTGCGAAAGATTTGTGTAGAAATGCGCCAATTGAACTAATTTTCCAGTGAGTACTGGTAAAAAAAATACTTGTTCATAGATTTCAAATTCATTAATTAAGATTGTGTTTAAAATATATTGATATTCCATTTTATGTTAATATTAATATTATTCACAATTTTACTAATTCTGGACCGTATACTGTGCGGTATTTCTTTGTACTTGTTCGGCCTCAATCGGCAATGTCACTTCATGGCAATGTAGGTAGCGCGAGCAGTTCGTTACTAGCCGTCTTGTGCATAAGACTTCTTGCAGTGGTGCAGTGTAGTTGTAGCAGATCATCACCACTGCCGATGTCATACTTATTACCATTTTTGTATTAAAGGCAGCTTATGCCCAGTTTTGCTCTAACTGTTCCGAGAATTGGTAGCGAGGAATGTTGTTAGTTCATTCTATGACGGCTGGCGTGGTACAGCTATCGGTTACCCCTCCCAGCCAATAGAGGATGTTTCCTAGAGTTATTAATTTCTCATTTTATCCGGCCCGTTGAAAGTGCTGAATTACCTAATGTGGCCCGCGTTTCGAAAAGTTTGGAGACCCCTGGTCTAGATAATGTGGGACCCTCAACGTCTCACAACCCTATGGGCCACCGTGGCCTGTTACAGGGATAGCTTTAATTTTTACGAAAACACCTGCTAAATCCTGCATTTTACAAATTTATGATGGGCGGATAATGGAGGGGATGTTTCTGACCTCAAGTCTGAATGTATTAACAACTTTCTATGAGGTGTATCGGAGAGTTCCCAGACTGTTGTTGTAAGTGCCTCAGTGAAAGAAGATGAGAGGGGAGACCAAGACACACTTCTGCAAATTTGTTGCACCTGTCTGCAGTGTAGGACCACACTGTGAACACACATTGTTTTTACGTGAGTGATTTTTCGACTTTGTGTTTTGTTTTGTCCGCAATGGATGGCAAAATCAAGCAATGTGTCTGCGTCAAATTTTGCATGAAGCTCAGTAAATCCACTACTGAAACCCTTGAAATGTTTTGTGAGGCTTTTGGAGAACATTCTTTAAGCCAGACAGCAGTTTTTGAATGGCATTCACGTTTCAAGGCTGGTCGAGTGTCAGTTGAAGATGATGAATGTTCAGGGCAACCAAGCACCAGCAAAACAACAAGAAATGTTGAAAAAATTTGAGAACTCACTCACGAAAACCATCGCCCAGCAATCCATGAGGTTGCAGACACTGCTGGGTTCTCTTATGGAGCTTGCCAGGAAATCTTGTTCCTTGACTCACAACAAATGATCAAAAACAGCGGTGCATAAATGTGTGTCTTGAGCTACGAGAGAAGGCTAATGGGGCTAACTTTTGCCCATATCTCTAGGATCATAACAGGTGACAAAAGTTGGATTTATTGTTACGATCCAGAATCAAACCAACAATTTTTGCAGTGGAAGAGCCCACAATCACCGAGAACAAAAAAAGGCGCAACAAATCTGGAGTTCAACAAAGAGCATGCTCATTGTTTTCTTCAACATGAAGGGGATTGTTCACCATCAATTTGTTCCTCCTAACACTGTGGTCAACTCTGCTGCTTTGAGACACTTGAGAGAAAATGTGTGATGAAAAAGACCGAAACTTTGGTCAACCTCCGCTGGCTCGTTCATCACGACTCTGCACCCACCCACATGTCCCTGAAAACCACAGAGTTTGTAACTAACAACGACATGGTTATTGTTCCCCATCCTCCCTACTCGCCGGACTTAAAGCCCTCTGATTTTACTTTGTTTCCCAAATTGAAAATGAAACTGGAGGGACAACATTTTGAAAGAATGTCTGACATCCAAAGAGAATCGCAAATGGTACTAAACAGCATTAAGGAAAATGACTTCTACGGTGCTTTTGAAGCATAGAAGAAACAATGGGATCGCTTTCTATACGTTCCCAAGGAAACTGTTTTGAAGGAGATGGTAGCCAAAATTGAGTAAGATAAGTCAGCATTTCTTTCTTTTTTTTGCCTAGTCTGGGAACTTTCTGTTAGCACCTTATATATATCAACCTGAATTTATACATAAGTACTGAATATGTTGTATCTCAAGGGATTTTAATGTCTGGAATATATTAACATATTCAGGATAGTGATATATCTTTATAAGCATTATAAATATGTAGGATAACAACTTCTTTAAATCTTATTAAACACTAATTCATTCTTTGTCTTAATTGCACATCTGTGGTCTACAATCAAGGAAATTTTGTCCCATTACATGAACTTGCAGGTCATCAGAAGGTAAAACAGTGGAGGTTCCATACAGAGGTGATGTAGAAGTGACTGTGTTAGACATCTTGGGTGGATTGCGCTCAGCTTGCACCTACACAGGTGCTGGTAAACTGAGGGAGCTACCTCGACGTGCCACCTTCATACGCTGCACCCAGCAAGTAAATCAGGTTTATAGTAATTTTGACCAGGGTGAGTAAGCATTCACTGACTCATGTATTTCTTTGCTAGATATTTGTTTCTGCATTTGAACAGTGAGATGGTGCTGAGACTGCTGCATGCCACCTCAGTAGCACAATCATTTTTGTCATATGGGAAGCAAAAATTGTGATTATGGAGTAGAATGCTGCTTTACATTTGAGAAAACAGTACTGGATTGTAAGGTGTTATTTCGTATAATTGTGATACATGTTGCTGTGGCAGCAAAAATCAGAATGGTATATGAAATAGTAAATTACCTCTAAGAATACAGGGAATTTTTCTGAAGGTGGTGTATCAACTTCTGATTCCCTTGTGATACTGTATGTCTTTAAGATTACTTTCTTTGTAAAGAAAAATGTGATAGTGATTGATGTATTTATCAGCTGAGAAGAAATTATTGAGCGAAGTTGTCCACGTTGAAATCCTGATCAAATTTCAGGCTTACCAACAATATGTTAGATTCACCTGCCATTACTACTTATTTTATGTTCACTGTTGGAAAGAGTTATTGAAAAAAATCTACGCTTTAACCATGCTTTGTCTTGCAAGGTCATTGGATGAAATGTATATCTTTATTCAAGCACATTGTATTCCTTGATCTCTTCTGTACCTCACCAATGTAAGAATTCTGAAATGTCTGTATTCATTCCTAGTGTTACCAAAACTGCTACTCTGTATTAGACATGCTTATGTAGTATCAAGCTATTTCACTCTGCAGTGAATAATACATGAGGCAGTATATTTTTCAAATATTGAACCAACTTCATTTTTATGTGCATCAAAATTGTGAAGAAATTTTGAAGTACTTTGTGCATGGACTTTTTGTTTTGAAGTGGCCTGAATTGAATTACATACAGTATTGAAAGTGGCACCGAACATTTACAAATAAAGAACAGCAAACATAATTTGCAATACTCCAGAAAGGTACAGACATCCGAAGATTATGTCATATGAGCATACTAGATTTGAAAACAGGAATATGGTACATATTGAAAAGGACTCTCTTCTGAGATGAGATGAAGTTGTAGTCCTATAGAAGTTTACCAACATTAATCCAAAAGTTAGTAAACTACCATCAGACAGTTCTGGCCATATCCCAGAAGGTAGTACTCTTCATAGTCATTGTCATGAGAATCTCAAATCTCATGTGGTACATGTTATATCATGAAAATGGAGACATTTGTCATACATGGTTGTTAAGAGAAATTATGGTTTAGAGGTAAATATTGAAAGTTTATGTGGTTTCACCTCTGATGGTATGTATTTTTGTGTTTGAGGTACATAGGAAATGCTGAAAAAAAACTTGATTTCACTTCCAATTCATTGGGAACGTTAAATTAGCACGATTTTATTGCTCTTTATTGAATATTTTAACTGTTATTCCAAGAAATGTGTTCGTACATTGATCTACAGTGTTTATGCACTGACATTATTGAAGACGTTCTGTTCTATATTGCAAGTGGTTGATGAACATTTCTATTTCTGAACTTCATTCAGATAAAAAACAAATAATTGTTATTGCTTAGCTAAACTAATGTTCTAACACAATATTACATGACCTCAAAATCTCACTTTAGTTATTTGACAAATTATGCATAATGTTGCACATGCCATATGCTCATGTAAAATATGATTTTCTTATTTGTATATGCCATAATGTTTTCATCTTGGGTTAGATTTTGTACTTTGACTTGACTGATGAAACATCTTGATTCCAAATAGTGTCATCGTGTTTAAGACAAAAAATGTTGCAAACTGCATATTGTGAAGAAACTACTGTGTTATATTTTCGCTTTCATTGTACCCTATCCTTTAAGGTGATTGTCTCATTTGGCTTCATTGCAGTCAAAAGTATGAATATGTTAAATGTATTCACACATAAAGTTGAATTGACATTGGTTACTACTAACTGGGGTAATATGTTTACCATTTGTATAACTTATTGCTTGTAACAGCTGTTTTCTTTGTCCCACTCTTCCAACTCATGGTTCATTGTTGATCAGAGATAAATGGTGAATTGTTGTTTTGAAACTATATGTCTAGGAAAAGGGCTGTGTATCCTGAACAGTATGATATTAATAGTGTTCCCTTTCATAGTTCTTATATGTTCAACTTTGTAAAATGTTTATTATTATTATTATTGTTATCAGCAGCGGCAGCAGCAGTATGGTTTAAAGGCCATGTTTCTGGGTTGTACAAAGGTCATTTTTAAAGTAAGAACAGTTTTGTTATAAACAAGAGAAAACACTATTCATCCAAATAATTTTAATATCATTACTAGATACAACATACATTTTTTTTCTACATAGTCCTCATTGCAATTCAGGCATTTGTCCAGACATTGCACAAGCTTGACGATCCTCTCATCATAGAACTTGGCCACCAGCCCATTTAACAAATCTGTAACTGTTTCTTTCACTACTTCATCAGTTGTCATCTATTTGCTGCCCCAAAACTCTTTCATTTTGGGGATAAATGGAAGTTGAAAGGCGCCAGATCAGGACTGTAACAGGAATGGTCAAGGTTTTCCCAACCAGATTTCTCCAACAACTTTGTTGCTTTTTCTGCAGTGAATGCTTGTGCATTGTCATGAAGCACTTTTGGATAGCATGCCATAGCTTCTTCACTGTTGTATGTCTACATTAATGGTCTCTCCATGGGGCAAGAAGTCAGTCAGAAGTTTGGCTTTCCTGTCACATAAAATACTGGCCATGATTTTTGCAGTTGAAAGTGTCTGCTTGACTTTTCACTACACTATATAGCTTTGAGGTACTGACAGTGGCAGGGGCTTGGATGGTCAATATAGTGCCTGGCTGGGGATTGGGGATCACTTCCTGGCAGGGGCTAGAGATTTTCTCTTCACAGTGTCCAGACTATCTCAGGAGCCCACCAAGCCTCGTATCCAGTGGGTACCTGGGGTAAAGTGGCAGGGATATGAAGCTGACCCCTCACCTTTATCTGGTTCTGAGGTTAAGAATGCATAAGAGCTGTACCTCCACTCCTCCATGCATCTTAAAGGTGTTGTGCTTAATTAAGCACGGGGAAAACTCTACTGTTACTTTACTGACAGTGTCATTAAATACTCTATAAATAAATAAATAAGTAAATTGCAGTAAATATAAAAATATAGTAAATTGTAGGTGCTTTACCTGAAAGCTGTGGTTCCCCCCACCCCACCCAGAAGTGGTTTATCAAATTCTTAGGTGGTTATCTGTAAAATATATATTGTGCATTTTAATCAGCTTTAGTTTTGGCTGTAATCACTTGATCATCTACATGTAACAGAGTAGGCCGATCTAGGTAGAAGTTTTTGTTGATATGTATTTCTTCGTGGTTCCCCTTTTCTTGCATTAATGCTGTCAGTCTTAAACTGTAGGCATAAATAAAAGAGGACAAGACACATGTGTCACTCTTCTATTGGTGGACCTGTGGTCAGATAAATCAGATAGGGTTCAGTTCCTGGCAGTTTCACGGATTTATTTTCCCTCTGCCACTATGTCCACAGTGACTGAGGGACCCACCTATCCTTCCAGTGGGTACAGTAGGTCCATTCCCTGGGGCTGAAATGACCAAGGTATGAAATTGATCACACACCTCACACTAGTCCTGAGGTTTATAATGTATTGAGCTGTACCTCTGTTCCTCCAAATATCATCATGGTGTGTGCTTAATTAAGGACAGGAATAACTTTATATTATAAGCATGTGTTACGAGTGTATGTGGCACCAGTGATCCAATCAACTGCAATATCTACTCTTAGAATTTCCAAGAGTTTAATTTTGTTCCTTTATCATTGACTTTTTGTAAAGAACATTTGTAATTGTCATATGTGTTCTACCAGCTTCATTTCAACATGATTAAACATTCACCATCCATTACGGGACAGAACCAAAATGCTTTTTGCAGAAACGTTACTTGTTACTGCGTGAGACTGAGATTGATTTTCTAACAGCAGTCACTGCTGTGGATACAGCAGCTGAGTAATAGACTAAGGTAAATTGAAATGTTGTAGCAGCAATTGCAGCTAATGCTGCAGCAGTTGCATGTTTTACTACACTTCTGGAACCATATGTTCAGATTAAGATATGTGCAGCTTATGGCTAAGTCACACAGAAGTGAATATAACATGGTCTCATACTACCTCACAGTTTGGTTACTGGTATGGTGCCATCAGAATCTCCCATTGTAGTCTTGCTTACAACTCAATATTGTGATATAGATTCCTTGAACCATATTATATATATTTGTTGTCTGAATTATTAAAGAGTGTTTTATAAACGGCAGTGGTTATGTAGAGAGGATAATTATGCATGGTGTGTTGGCAAGAATGATGGAGAATGTGATTATGGTCTGTTTTGAATTCATCGAATAGAAAAACTGTAGAGATCTGTAAAGTCTGTGTTCAGTCTCCAACAAAGATTAATGAAATTGTGTTGGCACTGGACACTACTACTTTTCCTAAAGTAACATATCTTATATTGTAGCATCCTGTTTCACGTCATTTATTATTCAACAAATGTCTCTGATTCACCATCCTATGTGTAACGTGTCCTAAAACTTTTTTAAAAGTTTCTTACATCACAGAATGCATCTTTTTTTCACCTTATTTTAAAGTTAAATATAAATACATTTATGTATTTTGTATATACTGTTACATGTAACATAAATTTTCTTCCATTTCAAGTTCATTACTGATAATAAAATGTGAAGTGCTACTTTTTTGGTCAGTATTCCTATGAAAGTGGTTGTGTGTTACAATGGTAGTGAGTATATGTATAGCTGATGTATGCACAACACTTTTGTGTAAAATTGGTTTATGTTTGTAAATGGGTCAACATTTTTTAAAATCTGGCAGCCAGTCAAATATTTTGGTTGCCAGAAAAAATGAATCAGTATATTCTGCCACTTTGGTGTGGCTATCTTGTCTAGTCAGCTTGTAAAATACATTTCTTCCTGTTGTACTGTTTGTTCTAAACACAGGCTTAAGATAGTAGCAAAAGAAACAGAAGTGAGATTAAGTGTTAAACTTGCTAAATATGGTTGTCTGAAGTTCTTTTGGATGTGATATGCTACAGGTGACTGATCAAGTGAGACTGCTAAAGCTCATGACCCTGAGTAGGAATGTAGTTGTTAGTCAAAATTTTTTGGTCAGTGCCAGTGACCATGTAACTGTTTTCAACCCCTGTGAATGCGTGTGTTCATGTGTGTGTATATCATGAGCCAGGATAGGTCAGTCACTGAAATGACTGGCTGTGGTTCACCACCACATCCAGTCTGACTCTGAATCCTACCCAGCCTTTTACTATCTACTTTTATCATTAACGTGTCTTCATGGTGTACTTAAACTCAGGAGCAGGTTTTTAACTTTACACTTAAAATGAAGATTCGGGTTACCATACGGTATTAATTTTTTTGTTTTGATCAATTGCATGGTTCCTTCCCATGGAGATTACATGTGTAGTTACTGTGGTTGGACTGTGTTTAAAGCAGTCTGTGTATCCTGTGTGAACCAGTCAAACTTAATGTGTCTTTTCAATGTAGGAGAAACTTAAAATATAGTATCTGTGCTCAAAATAGGAGCAACAGTAACACAGGCATATGAATTGAGAGAATGTCATTTTATGGGTTTTGATCCCTGCTTTCCTTCTGGAATTATGAAAATGGATTGAAAGTTAGATACTAAAGACGGAATGAGATTTTAACTTCTCACAGAAGTGACTATGAAGATTACTGTTTCCTGTGATGTGACA